GGCAAATTTAAGTTTTTACAGCTCAAACTGTAACAAAAATACTTAAATATAAAAAAACACTGATATTATAAGGTGTATCTATTAATTTCCAGAACTGTAATTACCAGAAATCCAGTAAATTAATTAAATAAAATATTTCGAAATAACATCCACCTGATGTTATTCATTTATATTATTCCTTTGAAGTAAAATCTTCAGAAAAAACATTTAAATGAAAATAGAGTACTTTGTGCTATGTATAAATAAAGCAAAATGTGAATAAAACACAAATAAAGGTACAGAAAGGGACATTTTATAGTTTAAGTTCTATAAAGAAGAATCTTCTGAACACAAGTATCTTCTTGTGTTCAGACATTAAGCACGATTCTTATTTATAGAGCCGAAACAAAATTATATGCATCATTTTTAAAATTTTTCTTAAATTAAATATTCGACTTTCTACTTAGAAAAATTTCAGTTGTAATAGAAATGTTTATTGTCTAAAAAATTTGCAACATCAGTACATTTTTTGATTAGGAACATAAAGTTAAAAAATGAAACATCAACTTGAGTTCCCTTTTGTTACCAATGTTCAAAAGTACTTAAATAAAAAGATAAGTTACCTGAAAGATCAAACAAACAATTTACTCTCCAGTCAAAATTACAGTGCCAATTACTAATTTTTTTTATTAAATTAAATGAAGAAATAAATCTCAAAAAAGGGTTGGTAACTGAGTGGGAAAAGGCAACAGAAGGTACAGCTGACAGAAGCGTTAAATTTTAAATGCTCTTGCATCGCAAATTACTGAATTTTACAAATATTAATATCGACCTATATTTCTTTTAATAAACTTAATGTATAATAAAATACTAAATTAAAAGTCAATACAAGGAAATAACAGAGGTGAAACTGTAAATCAATTTACTTACACAGGTTCAATTGAAAAAAAAAAATTTTCTATAAAACTAAAATTCTTAATTTGATCTTATCGCTTATTAAAAGAACACTCGAAAGAGTATATTTAAAACACTTATGCCAGTAACAGAGGGGAAAGTAAATAATCTATACTTGATTTATCTTATTGGAATGCAACAAATGTAATAATGACAATCTTATCTAAAAATAGAACATCCAGAAAGCCATGGGACTCATTTTTGCCCACTCAGCAGAAATAATTTAATACAATAATTATACTAACAAAGCGGAAAACAATCCTGGGACAACATCAAAATGTTTAATTTTTTTTCTCAAAATTAAATTTCAAACTGTATATTAGTTGTGCTGTGGTATGTATGACACAGTTTTTGTTACTCGATAAGTTAAAATCATTTTCAATTAACAGGGGATTTAATTACCGTTAAATAAGAGGGGAGGGAAACTGACATGGAAGTTTTACTGTATCTAATGTATTAAGAAGGTATTGCACAAACGTTATTTTTAAAATAGAAATTTTATGTACATACATTTACTAAACGCGTACAGTAAACTATGAACTAAAAGAGAAATGTATATACACGATAGTGTATATACATTTTCTAAAAGCATATAGTAAACTACTTTGGATGCTTAAAAATGTTATTTCGACTTTTATTTCAGTAATAAAAATTACATATAATCATGGGATATCATAAGTGCAAGTTGACCTATGTCTTTTTATGTGTCTTGCTTTATTCCCAATATTTAAAGTCCTTTTCTTAATGCTCTTCAAATCTGAAGTTTTTAATGTCTGTAATATCCTTATACTTTATCCTTGCAGCAAAATGTTCATTTTTGGAAACAAAGCTCATGCGTAAGATTTAACTGAAGAGTATAGTGAATGATTCCTAACAATCTCTAAAACAAGAAAAACAAATTGCTAAATGAACAATGTTTGTGGAAGTCAAAGTTATTTAGGAAACCCAAAGATCAGAGTTAGAGAACACTCAGAGTGAGAATTTTTAAAAAATTTTCTGAAACTTTTACATCCAAGTATAAAAGGACATTAAGGAAGGTTACTTTGAAACATATATAAATGGGTATGCCGCGGATAACCAACCCGCAGCATTTGCGTCGCAGTGTGACAAGGCGAAGTATTAACAATATAACTCAAAATTATTTAAAAATCAAAACATTGGAGACAGTAACCTTTATCAGGAACACTGTCAAAAATTTATTTAAATTTAAAATGACCCAAATTACACTGAGTCGTAAAAATTATATATTAGTATTAACCAACATCCCAACTTAATTAACTTAATTACATTGCACTAACAACTTCCCAAAATTACACGATTTGGCTTTCTGACTATGTTGTAGGTTGCATGTCCGTGAACAAATGTTTTTGTTATGATCATAATAAATTCAAAATATCATTCAATTTTAACTGACGTGCATCAACAAAAGCCCGCAAAAAAGTAAGAATTCAAAAAGCGCACTAAGTTCAGACTATTTAATAATTATTTGGAATTAAATGTTTCAAAACACTATTGAAGAAGGCAGAGTTAAAAATTTAAAAAATTGTTTGATTGCAGGTAGAAACTTAAAGGTGTTTATATTAATCACCACAAGATTGGTATAATACACATGGTATAACATGGTATGGACACATGGGTATAATCCTCTCTGTTTCAAGCAAACCTCAAAAGCAAACAGCATTTTAATGCTTTAAATCCTTTCTTTTTCCTATAATGATTGGATAGAGATTGATAGAGTGCTTCTTTTTTTCCCTCGCTTAAATATTAATTTATGAACTCTAATATGATTATAATTTTTTAATCCATTCTTGACAAGGGTTCCAAAATATTTATCAAAGATGCTGATTATGGAATATCCTGCTTGTAAATCCTGCATTTTCCCAATCATATTTTTATCTTGCATTTGCAATTAAAAACTTAATCAAGGAATTGAAAACTTGTTTCGGGAAATAAATAAATTTCAAACGTCTTTAAGATACTTTTTGAGTGCATATCATTATTTTCAATAATATAATATTTATTAAAATTGTAATTGAAATAATGTACATTGAAATAATGAACATTGATAATTGTGTTGATTAACAACGAAATTAAAATATATTGACTCGTAATCTCTGAATTAACATAATGAGCAATCTTACTGTTTTCCCCACATGACACATTCAAATAATTAAAATTTTAATTAAAAACATTTTGTAAGTATGTATCTTCCGCAGGAATAACTTTGTACCGAATGTAAATTCATAAAAATAGTTTTCTTCATGTTTGTAAATAAAACACCTATTAATAATTCTAATTTCTAGTTATAACTGAAGTGAAATTTATAAAAATATTTTCAACGCAGCATTTTTTAATTTTTTTTCTCAAATAAATATCTAGCATAGAAAAAATGAAATGTGCCATAATTACATCTTTCGAAAGTTTTCTGACATTACGATAATTCTCCCTATTTTTGGCTCAATTTTTAACAATTTGAGTTAATAAATGATCGTAATTGTAATACGTTAAAAAGGTGTCCATGATAAAAGTTAGCATTTGTCTGTAGTCTCTTTACAAAGATATGCAGCAGAATTTCACGAAAACCGGGTACTAGCATAATGAAATTATAGGAATTTTATCTGGGAAAGAAAATTAGCTACAGCTTGGCCTCCTAGATCACCAGACTTGAATCTTAGTGACTTTAAGTTATAGGGACTCTTCAAAAACTTTTATTAAAGATAACACTTAACTTAACAGAACTTAAAGATAACAAAGCATTCCATGTGCGTAACATTCCCAACACACGTGATTTGAACGACTGAAAACGCGATTTTATGCTCCTAGATAGTTGCAAACAATAGAGGCCATCATTTTGAGCATCTTTTTCAAGCAGAAGATGCTAAATGTTTGGAAAAATATTGATTGTTATTTGTGTATGGTGTCTATACAGCTATGATACGCCACCTTATGGTGGTTTTTGAAACTTATTTTGACTCGAAAAACTTATCTTCATTGCATTATGTATTTATCCAAATTTCATAATTTTTCATAAATTATAAATTTCAACGATATTTAAATCATAAAAACAGTTTTGAATATGTCTGAGAAAAATGTTAAAAGATTCTTACTTTAATATTATAAGGGTACTTACATGAGTGTTAATTAGTGATTCCAACCACGTGACTAGTGTTTTATTATAAATACTCTCTGTGACAAAAAACATCATGTTTACTTAACTAAATTCTAAACAATCTACAGATTTCTTACTTTCATGCAATGAAAAATAAACAATTTATATCATTCAAATTTCAATTCCATTTCTTAAATAATTTACAAAATAATTTTAAAACATCAATATTTGTTGATCTATTCGAAATTAAAGGAAGAAAAAGATCATATTATGAAAGGACGAGGCATTAAACTACGCAAGTCTAAAAGGTGCGCATCCTTTATTTTCTAGGGAAAAAAACAATTAAGAAATTAGTTTGTAAGTAATTTATTATTAATAAAATTTAATTATTTATCATTAGTTTTTCTTACTTGAACATATTTTTTCTTCTTCTCAAAACAATACTAAACTTTTTTGGTGCAAGGAGAAGAGATCAAAGGGAATGATCAAATGCCTCCTCCCTCCATATTACATCAATGAATTGAAAATGACAATAAAAAAATATTAATCAAATTATTTTGATCATAACTTTTGTAAAAATATTAGCAGCAACCTTAATTAACAGTTATTAACAGTAATTTTACAGTTATTTTATCTTTTAGTGTTTAAACTTTACGAATTAATATTTTAATAATATTTGTCACTTTTTACGTATTTGTATTTCAAATATAAGATTTTTTTATAATTAAAACACATAAAAGGTATAGACTATACATTTTTTCAAAGTGTATACGAGCATTAATCATGCTTATACCCGCAAAGTAGAGGGATAAATTTGATCCCATATGGTCGTAATATAAAGATCAACCCTAACATAAAAATACACAAAAAAGCATACAAATGGCTTTAAACCTATGAAAACTCTAAACATTTTACACATTTAAAACATTTCACGAATTTCATGGATGATAAATCTCACCTTTTATATGGATCTGATCAACAGGACCTGGTGGAGGCATGATCTTTCACGAATGCGCTACAAACTGTTGAAAATATCTTACGTAACACTCATACCATATGGGCGAAATGGCTTACGTACAAAGAGAAAAATGGTCAGATCGGACCTTTTCTCTCTTGTTTATCACTTCTGGAAGATCCAATGGCTCTTCAATTGATTTCTTATACGCGATTTATTACGTTTCTTGTTAATAATAGCCAGTCCAAAGTTGCTTGTTTCTTTCGCTGACTCACTCACGCTAAAAAAACAGGGTATATGCCCGGTTGATGTAGAAGTGGCCTTCTGAGCAGCCCTTGGGGCGTAGGGTCGATCATTGTGTGCCTCGTTTCTATGGTTACGGGCGGCCGGCTCCAATCTGACTCCTTGGTGTCTGATGTACACACCTTTTACTACGCCCAAATAAATCTTTCGCGGAAGAACGCAAGAGATGGTAATTACTTCTGGTTTTGAGTAAGAGATGATGTGTTTCTTCAATCTTGTCGATTCAGAAAAATAAGGCTATTATTTTGATAGTAGTAAATATGAAACATTTAGGAGTTTGTTTACCAAATCAGTTATCGAAAGTGAAGTCGATAATTTATAATTGTATTGAACAATAAAAAACAACGAGACTTAAAAAAAAGACATACAGGGTAGCAAAAAAATATAGGGATCATTTTTGAATGTTTATATTTCCAAAATTTATTACATAAATTCAGCGATGCTTGTCAATATGTCGACCTCCGGCATAATAGATTTGTCTATAACTCTTCGGCAATGATTTTAAAGCCCGCAAAATGATTTCCTGGGGGATTTTCTTCACCTCTTCTCCAATAGCTCTTTGAAGGCCTCTCAATGTAGAAATTCTTCGCTTATTCAGTTTGTTTTTCAGATGTCCCCATAGGAAATAGTCGCATGGTGCAGCATCAGGACTGTTTGGAATCCATTATTCTGGTCTCAGGAATTGCACTTGCTGATCTGTTAGGAATTTCTGGGTGACCTTAGATGCATACGATGGGGCAGAGTCCTGATGGAACACAGCATCACCATTAGGGTACAATCTGCAGTAATCATCCTTAAGAAAGGGCTTTAATATCTTCTGTATATAATACTCAGAATTTATTTTGGCCCCAGGTTTCACAACCCGAGGTTTGGTCACACCATGGGCAGATATGCCCATCCAAACCATTACGCCTTTGGGATGAGGCACCGTGGTTGATGGTGTCAAGTCTCGCCTGTTCTGCCCGCGACTAAGATATTGAACTTAAGATTCAGCATTGGTATCAGATAGATAGATCCAAGCTTCATCAGTTGTAATGAACTTTCGCCATCTGTCCTTACGGAGAAGCTTGTAGAGGGGCCATGAACGTTGCCTCCTAATCTGCACCAATCTCTCCCTTAAATGATGACATTTAGGCTTTTTATAGCATTTTTTTCCCAACTTTTGTTTTAGTTGATAGCTCACAACTTGCTGACTCACGTTAAGAGCTTTAGCCATGCTTTCCTGTGTTGGTGCATCCGGTTTTGATGTCATGTTATCAAGCTTCTGCAAATCTGATTTCTTCAATATGCCTGGCCGTCCACTTCTTTTTGGTTTTGCATTATTTTTCATCGATCCGAGTTTCGAATTCTTTATGTGACTGATATGGCTGAGTGAAATCGCAATACCTTTCCTTTTAAAATGGGTTTGTATAATCCTGTGGCTCCAGCGAAGTTCTAAAAATGCTTGTACTTGACCAATTAGCTTTTTGTCAAATTTCTTCAAAGGCATTTTTGTGATTTTATGAAATACCATTGCAATTGAAAGTCTAATAGCAGAGCTTTAGATCAGTAAGCTATATATGTAAAAAAGTTTTAAAACTTTAGTGGTAGATAGCCACAAAAGTGATCCCTATACTTTTTTGTTACCCTGTAGATAATGATTTCATGTCTAATTATAATTTTTAATTATTGTAAGAAGAATTAACATTATAAGTAAATCATAATAATATTTGTGAGCGCAAAGTATTTTAATTTATACTGACTTTTAAGTGTTATTTGAATAGAAAGAAACTTTAGGAAATTGTTTCCTTAAAATTCATTTTATAAGTTAGTAAATTTTTTAAATATCATTAAATTCTCATCATATATATAATTTCCTACATTTATTTGTTATAAAAGCAGTTACTGTTGTCATGAGGGTTAGATGATTGAATCACAATTTAAATTGAGTTTAAAGGCCAGAGTTTCTTTTTTAATTAAGAAACTTTATTTTATACCAATTTTACTTCCTAATTTTAAAATTTTAGGAATACCTGTAACACAAAAAACTTGATTTGAATTTAATTCATGAAATTAAAAATAAAAGTTCGGTAGAAAATTCTCATATAAATAAAAAATTTAGCTAATTGTTACAAAAAAAATGCAGTTATATATTTAAACAAAAAGGTTCAGAATAAATATCCTTAATTATTAAAACATAAGTCAACCTTATGTACATAATTTATATATAAACATAATTAGTTTTCATAAAATAATTACTTATCATAAATAATCAATTTAAAATATTTTTTAAAGAAATAAGCGTATTATATAATTAAATCTTATATTTAGATTTCAGATATGACTCTCAAATGCATTCACGTGATAATATGTGATTGAATGAAAACAAAAGAGCATCTTGGAAATAGTTTACAGTGTTCAAAGCCTTAACATAAAAAACAACACGTAATAGTATTCCACACAAAATGGCTCTTTTTTTTAAAAGAATGTTGTAAAAAAATTAGAAATTTATTTAATATTTCATCATTTCATCTGTATATTTAAAGTATATCTCTCGATCCCCTAAAAATACATCTGACTGTTAGTATGAGAAAATAAATTATTTTTGGATGCATAATTAAATCAATTAAAAATGATGACCTATCTGAGCATTCTCATCGAATAGATCCACTAAATGTGGAGTATGATCAGGTTTTCCCACATGAAAATCCATATTTTTTACTTTGTCCTCATCAAAATAATAAAATCATTTAATATTAATTTAAATACATAGATTTGCACTTTCTGTAACATTATTTTCTGTTAATTTATAATCTAAATAAGATTTAAAACTTAAACAAAAGATATTACAGTTGTCTGATTTATAAGAAAGTAACAATATTTTCACACCCAGTTGATTGAGGAAAAGGCAGAAGGAACGGGAAAAAAATGTGATTTTTTTTCACTGCGTGAAGCATACGATTGCAGAAAAACAACTTTTACATGTAATCCTTATTTCCTTGACGCTGATGGGAGACACCGGTGGCTTTTTATCCAAGCAAAAATATATTTAGGTATTTTTAATTATAAAAATATATCTTATTTCTTTTAATTATGAAAAACAACCTAATAAATTTGTTAGATTATCAGAATTATATTTGTACAAGCACATAAAATCCAAAAAATGACAATATTTTTTCATTCATATTAAAAATTTATCAATACGTAAAACTTGTGTAAGTTGACCACTTGTGGTGCATTGTTTTAGTGGTCAACTTAGACAAGTGGTCAACTTATAGAGGGGGTGGGTCATTGTTTACTTTTTCGTTTCCTGTATCATGTTGCTATACATTAAATTTTTTTTTTACTTGACTTAAAAATTTTATTCAGAAAATATGTAAATGAATATCTTAAGAAATGTGTTTAAACCTGAATGAACTTAAATTTGATACATATAATTCTAATATTTAGCGAATTTTTTTTTAAAAAATTATTTCGTTAGTTATGCATGTGAAATGTTTAATAAATATAATTTCTTAAAATATCAGAACACGAAAACATGTAATTTTAAAACTTTAACAAAATAAAATTATTTGAACACTTTAAAAGTTATTTACTACACTTAAAGATCAAAGACCATAAATAAAGGATCAAAGCATATTTCAGATGCTCACTATTGCACTGGACTACTCACTATATTCAAATGCCACTATTGCAACTGGAAGAGCAACTTTTCAACTAACACACCTGTTTTCAATGAGCGGATGAAAGAAATGGTCAAAAGCTGACCCCTTACAGTTTCCCCNTGGACTACTCACTATATTCAAATGCTCACTATTGCAACTGGAAGAGCAACTTTTCAACTAACACACCTGTTTTCAATGAGCGGATGAAAGAAATGGTCAAAAGCTGACCCCTTACAGTTTCCCCTGATGGTCAACACACAAAAGGCTTTAGATTAGCTTTTTACACTATTTCACCAAACAAGTGAAATTTTAACACACATTGCCAAAATGATAGAAAATTTTCTGAATTTTTTTCTCCTGGTCAACTTATGAGGGTTATAGAATAGAATTTCATAATACTCCTAGACAAAATTGACTTATTTCAGTGGTCAATATACAAGATAGACAGGTGGTCAAGTTAGAAAGGTTTTGCTTTTTCATATTATATAGGAAAAATTCCGTTCTTGATAATTGAGGTCAACTTAAGCAGGTGCCCAACTTACAAGGGTGGTCAACTTGACAGGTTTCTTGATTTGGTATTTCAACTGTTTCTCTCAGATCTAAATAACTGCAATATAAATGAAAATTTGAAAAATTATTGTTTGGAAGTGAGCCGTGCTTCGAAGATTTTACCTTTAATGCTGAAAAGAGACACAACTGTTTCATGCTGTATTTCATAACCATAAATTATTAAAATGCTAAATATAATATTTTTAGCTTATTTTGATCGAAATTATTACAAAGTAATGGAAAAAGTATGAAAAATAAGTTTAATTAAAATTTTGCGTCAAGGGGATACGAAATCGGAAAATAATTTCTCGAAGATTTCGGCTAAAATAGTAAATTTTAAATGATCGATTAAATGAGCCCCATCCTTTAGGGCCCTCATTGAATCTTAATCCATTGTCTAATATATTTTAGTACTATTCTTTTTAAACTTTCAGACTTAAAATTATTAAAGGACTTAAAATGATTACTAGTTTAAAACTAAAGAGCTCGCACATTTGGGAAATCTATATTAATAAATAAATAAAAAGTTTTCATCCCAAAATACAACCTGTACTTTGCTTTTAAAAGTGTCAACGCAAACCAAAATTTATTGCAATTACATTTTTTTTGTCTATTGTGCGAAAAATTTGATCAGCAATAAATTGATTAAAAACAAGGAGTATTTAGTTTTATAAAATTTTAAAAAAATTCTACAAATGTAGACACTTGAGTTTAATATTTTTAATGGTGTCTTCCACTCATACTACTTCAAATTGTTTAAGATTATTCGACCTTTTCATTTTCTTTTTTCTATTTAGATATACACACACACACATATATA